AACCTTGAACTCATCTGGATTCTACCAGCGACCTTGCAAATACTCAAAAAACACATTTACTATAGCCTTATTTTTACTTTTCAAAAGATTTTTCCCTTTGTACGAATTGATTTAGAGAAAAATGATCTCATATATATTTTCTGTTATATTTCCGAGGGTTAGTTATAGCATATCCGCAATTTTGTCGTCGGTATAGCCCTTCTCGTCATTCGGATATGAACCGAAGCAAACACATAGTAGGTAAACATAATATCATACGTAATAGAAAATTCTATCTCTTTTTTCTTTTTTATTAATTTATTTATTTAATCGAAAAAATCGATACTTCGCAAAAGTATATCATATAGGTATATATCGATTAAAGGTCGTTTTTCTTTTCGAAGATCGGTAGTACAAACGTGTAACTTTTGGGAAACAAGAAAATCGTGAACGGACATTGGTCGAAAGTAAGAAAATAAGGGTATACCATTTTTCATCGGACTAACCGAATTTGTCGAACACGGAGCTACGGGCAGGGGTTGGATCTAATTTCAGGGCCATTCCGATATATACGAGCGGCTACCCTCGCACGACCGATAGTCGTGAACTATCATTTGTTCGAATTACACTGTGCGACCCTCGACCTTTGTATCGGTGATCGTTTGTTACAATGAGTTCGAACGTGGCTTTTAATGATATCGCTATGTAACATCGTTGGTTATTTGAGAAATATACATGTATATATCTATATGTGTGTGCGTGATTATATGTACGTATATTTCCAATCGATTATAAATCAAATTAAATCAAATCGAATAAAATCAAGAAACAAATTAACAAAAGAAAAAGAAAGGTTGATTAGAATATTCAAATTTTCATGAAAGAAAGGAAAAAAGTAGTTTCTTTGACTCGGTTTGATTTGAACTTCAAAGAAACATCGACCGAAGGAAGAAGACCTTCCGATCCTTTAGCCTTAGAAGTAAAACCCTTTCATCCTCGATCCACCATCAAGAGGTCCTCTCTTGGTCCTGGTGTCCGCTGATGGGCTTCGAGCTTCCTGATCCACTCGAAGGGAAGGAAGGAAAAGGGGGTGCGAGGATGAAAATTATACGTACATAAGAGAAGCGGAAGGTGAGAGACTGGTACGTTAAAGAAATTAGAGAGATAATTCCTCGGACGAATACCCAATTTACCCTTTCGTCCGTACCAAGCGCCCTGGCCTTATTATCTAAAGTGCTCGGCTGGCGAAGGGTAACAAAAAATAAAAATAACATCCCTGACAGGAAGGAGAGAGAGAAAGAGAAAGAGAGAGAAAACTGGTGGAGGGTCAAGAGGAGTGGCAAGTGCACGCTGATGTCACTGGTGCGAACGAGAAAAGACAAAAAGTACCGAAGGATATCCTCCTTCCTTTTTCACTTCCTCTTTCTGTTCTTCTTCTTCTTCTTCTTCTTCTCTTTTTCTTTTTCTTTCCCTTTTATTTTTTCCTCTTCCTTCCCCTACTTCTTCTTCTTCTTTACCCTTTGTCTCTCTCTTCTCCACCATTTCTATTTTCCTACCAACTCTACACTCCTTTTCTGACTCGCGGACTATTCGAAACTTGGCCTGACACACGACGGGACGTCGAGATGCCAGGAAAACTTTTTCAGCTTTTATAATTTATTTACACCAGAGATATTTTCAACACTTATCTTTACCTTTACTTACATATCGTATACATATACTCCCGCACATACATACACTTTTTCCTGCAACTCTTCTTCCATCTTTCTTCGTTTTGTTTTTATCGTAGCTCGGAAAAAGCTTGCGAGAGGATACTTTAATCCGTTCAAATCCTTTACGAGGAAACATTCTAATCATAGAATGCATTTCTACCTAATCGTCTCCTTTATCTTTTCGGATCAAGATAAGTATCGATGTTATTTGAAATTTATAACTAATTAACGATCTATTTAACGTTGAGACGAGATCTATTTAAAGTGTTGTTTAATGAGATGACAAAAAATATTAGAGTAATGTTTCGAGATAAACATTAACGTTGATCAAAAATGTTTTTTCTATGTATAAATAAAAAAAAAAATACTCTCTTACCGAAATAGACGCGTAAAAGACACGCGTATAAAATTTGTCTACATGTGTATACGCTTGATTGTAAAACAGATGGAAGAAGAGAAACACAGTCTTTCTCGCTATTTTGGGAGATGAACACAGGAACATGAATACGTTCGATCGATGAATCACTTCGTACAGCGTGACGTTGACGTTATAGAGAGTGGGATACAAAACGTTAGAGAGAAAGAGAAAGGACTAGAGTAAAAGAGAGAAATAGAGAGAGAAAGAGAAAGAGAGAGAAAGAGAAAGAGAGAGAAAGAGAAAGAGAGAGGAAAGAGAGAGAGAGAGAGGAAAGAGAGAGAGAGAGAGAAAGAGAGAAAGAGAAAGAGAGAAAGAGAGGAAAGAGAGAGAGAGAGAGAGAGAGAAAGAGATGGTTGTAGAAGGGTCGGATGCACCCCTTTGGCATATATGACAACGGCAGCTACCGGGTTGCAAGTCTAGGGTATGCAGGTGCGGGTGTATTAAAAAGCGGGGGTGGCTGCGGTCGCGTACCAATCACCCAACAGGGATAGAGGTTGAGGTAGAAGTGGTATAGGAAGAAGAGGAGGAACAGAACAGAGTAGCAGTCGACGCTGCTATAGAAAGAGAAAGAGAAAGAGAAAGAGAAAGAGAAAGAGAAAGAGAAAGAGAAAGAGAGAGAGAGAGAGAGAGAGAGAAAGGGATCGTACGGAGACAGTTTGTTCGATGAGAGGGAAAGAGATAGAAAAACATGACTAGACCCACGTGATCCTGTGAAATTTTAATCGTATCGTCATTGGGGTAGTTTGTTGCGATAACTCGACTGGTCGGGAAACGTGGAGAGATTTGGAAAAAGTGTTGGGGACGAAAGAGAATCGAGAGAACAACGAAGAAAAAAGAGAAGAGAGAGAGAGATAGAATGGGAAGGACGATAGGGACTCTCTTTCTCACTCTCTTTTATTTTTAGGTTGGATCTAGTGACTTTTTGTAAACTCCTCTACCGGAAAACACGTGGACGTGCTTGTCTTCCATAATGGATATGGTAGTTTGCGAATAATGTTATCCGTGATCTTAAACAATAATTTGATATTTTTCCAATAAAGTTTTATTACACGAGGTGAATAAGATTGAGAAATTGTCAGATTAACATTGAAACAATATAAATTTTTGCTAAGCCCTATAGAAGTTGATTAGATTAGAAACTTGTCGTATCACCAACCTTTGTATATATAGTTTTGCAAGTTGACTTCAAATATTCTCCCAGTTTAACGTCTAATAACCGACCACTTGAATATTATTCGTGAAAAGGTAAAAGTGATTTATAACGAATTTTGTAAAACTACTCGGAAGTCGATGGAACGCCATCGGAACGGATCGAATATGTATTTTATCGAACGGTCAGCGCGCGAAAGGATATCAAATCTATCGCGGAAAGCGGTCGGCCGTACGTCATACATCCCACGTAAAACACAGACGAGTGGCGTGTGTCGACGGATATACGTCTCTCGTTCTAGGCACCAGAAATACAGACATACATAGAGAAAGAGAGAGATAAATATAGGAGATAGAGAAAGAAAGAGATAGAAAGATTCATGTACAACGTGTCAGTATTATTGCTCATTTGATCCGGCGTGCATCGGAAAATAATGTAGAAAATTGTTTTGCGGTCTTTTTATCTCGATTTCAGTGAATCGCACGAAACAGAGAGTGCGGCAGAGAGGGAGAGAGAGGGAAAGAGAAAAAGAGAGAAAGATGAAAAGAGATGAAAATATCTACGAAAAGAGCGTAGCCGATAGAGAAAGAGAGAAAAATAGAAAGAGAGTTGAACCATTGTATCCCATCAATCACGCGGACCTTTTCACCAAGCGGATATCGGGCCTGCCCGTTTTTGCGTGCGGTGCATCCCGCTCGATTGCAATCGCGGCGAATTATTGAATCCGCTGCATCTGCTTCAACTCCCTCACCACCTCCCTTGCCCATTCACCCTCTCGCTGCCCTCAACCCTTCTACCTCATCCCACTTTTAGATTAGCTTCGGTTACTTCGCACGGCTTGTCGAACAGATTTCCGTAATGTAATTCGTAATTTTTGAAAGAAATACGTCGATTTTACTTCGTATCTATCTATCTTTTTCTTTTTCTCAGGATATATCGATTTATCTGTATAAATTATGTTAAACTTACCTGTTAAAAATATCCAATAGTATTTTTCTTCGATCTTTCTGAATTCAGAATACGTGATTGATGAATAAATACAAATAAGGTACCAGACGTGGAACGGATGATATTACTTTATTTGATGACGTAGGTAAACAGTGAATGTTCTCTTGGTTTTTCGTGATCGTACGATGTCGATTTAATGACATATTCCGTGACCGACGCAAGTGTTTTTAAGAGACTAGAATTAATCGGTCTATCGTTTTTGTTTCTTTTTTTTCACTTCGTTTAATCATTTTAACACATCGATAGAGATTTTCCCGTAAAAATAAGGGGAACTTTAACTTTGTGAGACACGGTGATTCGATTTTATTTTATTTATCGTTGAAATTGTTTTTTTCTTTTTTTTTTTTGTTATTATTATTATTCATTTTTTATTTTTTGTTTTGTTTTCAAAGGATTATTTAATATTTACAACGACACGAACATTCGCGATAGTATCGCCCATATCGAATTAAATCAAATTCGTCGTCTTATTTCTTTCAAATGAATTTAAAGTCTTTTTCTAGCCTAATGACAATGATGATGGGTGAGCGATTTATTGTAAAATAATAATAATAACAATAACAATAATAATAATAATAATAATAATAATAATAATAATAATAATAATAATAATAATGATAATAGTAATAATAATAATAATAATAATAATAATAATAATAATAATAATAATAATAATAATAATAATAGTCNTAATAATAATAATAATAATGATAATAGTAATAATAATAATAATAATAATAATAATAATAATAATAATAATAATAATAATAATAATAATAGTCATATCTAACTGGACAAATATCGTTGAAAAGTCATTTTCTCGTTTTTGTCGATTATTGAATAAAATTAGTCTGACTTGAAATTGTCCAGCAAGAACGATTGATCGTAATTAGAACAACGAGAGATAGGATGAGGCTTAATGAGTTTGACTCGAAAATCTAATCTAAATGGGTAATGATGATTGGACGTTACATATAGTATTTACATGGTATTACGAACATAAAACCCTGGTTAGTCCTCGAGTCATCAAAGTGATCTCCACGATAAAGTCTTAATGTGTTTCCTAAATTTTTACCTTTTTTGATTGTTGATTCTCGATCGCAGGTAAGAGTTTGATTATTTACATTAACTTATAATTAATATTTAAAATATTTGAAAGTGCGTCGAATTCGAGCGCATTTAAATGTTACATTTAAAAACAGCGATCGTCGTAATCGATCTATTTCTCGATCTACGGGTAATCGACAATGCCTACATTTTCCTATTCATTTGAGAAATCATCGATCTCGTTAATATCGTAACAAGATCGTTCCTTTAATCCTTAACGATTGAAATCTCTTCCTTCCTCGATTCCAATCATATCAATCGTCGTCTTCTTAAACGTATCGATCTTAGATTGGAACCCATTTAATAAGGTCTCCAGACGTGTCTAGGTTTGGGACTTCGTTCCCTGCGCGGTCTGATAGGTTCGATATTATCATCCTTCTTCCTAATGGTCAAATCCTGACCTACGTTCTCTTTATCCTGTCCCTTTTTTGTGCTAAGATCAACGGTACCTTCCAAACGAATTTTCACTGTGTAATCGTTGCTGAGAGATAACTCATGATCGTTTTGACTTTCCGTATCGTTGAAATTTTCTATACTTGGTCGAAGTAGTATCGGCACGTCCCGAGAAGTTGCATCTCTCGATGTCGTATCATCGAGATCGCTTCTGCTTGGAGAAACTCTAGGCGAGTCCTGTTCCAGAAATGATTCCTCGCTAACGCGATCCCTTTTACGATCTTGATCGTTTCTATCGTCAACCTCTATACTTCCATCTGGACTATCCATGCCTGATCTGTTCAAAGGATCTGGATCCTCTTGATCTGTTTTCCTGTCTTCTTTCGAACTACCTTCGGGACTATCGCTGGTACCTCGTAATTTTCGAAGTTCCTCGAGCCTGGCCTGATCTGGTCTCTGTAATCGCTGTTGGGCCATTCTGAGAGCTAGAGCGTGCCATTCAGGTTCCAGGATGTACTGTTGTGTGTGATAAAGCGGGTTGTAAAGCCATGAGGATTGAGGTAACAGTGGAGCGAATATCGAGCCAAAGATCGATCCTGTTGCTCCTAATAGATGAAGACCTGCATGAGTCGAAAGAGAAAGGCAAATAGAGAGACAGAAAGAGATAGAAAAATAGAAGTGTTAGAGAGACAAAAAGAGAAATAGATAGAAAAAGTAAGAGAATTAGCACCTTCTTGGTTTTTATGTTATTCAACACAGGTTAAATATTAATTTGAAATATACCTTGGAAATGCGGGTGATGTCCCGAGGGACTTGGGGTCGTAGTGGTCGCCGATTCGGCTGGTGGTGTCGGTGCAGCTACGGTAGCTGTCGTTAATAATCCTGGTCCGGGATTTCCTGGCGAAGTTGTCGGTGGTACTTCTCTCACCGAAACACTGATAGGACCCAAATCGTTTCTCGTCGAATCTTTATGATCAAATAAAAAAGAAAAAGAAGAAAATATAGAAAGGTAATTATAATGAACGATTCATCATGTAATCTTATTTTATATAATTTTGTTTACAGATTCTTACCGGTGTTGGAACTAGGCAGTCTAGGAGACCTCTGCTCGATAGCATGATGAAAGGGATTAAAGGCCGAGCCACCGGCCGGCGGTGGATGTGCGTGCGCGTGATGACCGGGTGGTGGCGGAAGACAATGCGGTGGTAAAGATCCTCGGGATAATCCACCCCATCCTTGATTAGTTCCTTGTTCCAAATTTAAATGTTGCAAACCTAAAAACGTAAGTGTTCCTGTCAACTAATATTCGTTCAAGATTTATCTTTAGATTTATATTAAAAACAATACATACAAAAAATTAATATTTTGTTCCAAGTTGGGATGAAAAGAATCTCGTGCGGTTTTCCTTTATACGCGTATGTACATTTATTTCTATTTCCTGTTTGATATATTTTTGTTTTTCTTTCTTTTATTTTGATTTTTGTTCAGAGAAAACGACTCAGCTATCTACTTTAATGGACAGACTATGATCGAGTGGCAGGTAGAGATAGAAGAATGCTTCCCTTTGACGTAATAGCATTCGCTTGACATGGATGGACAGGTAAATTTTTCCGGCGGTGAGTAGAAAAACGATTGCTCGGTCGTCTCTTTCTCAATCGTGGCCGATATTGCGAAACGATGGCCCCATGTGTGTATGAATGCAATTAAAACTCATGACATCAAAAGTTTGGTTTGAATGCGATACTTCAAAGACGCCGGACGGATGGTTAATTCGTTGGCAGGATGTGAACTATGGAGAAACGCTCGTTGGGAAACCCTTAATAATGGGAATATTCGTTAGGACATTTGGTAAAGAAAATAAAGCATAGGTGATATGAAAGCACATTATGAATAAACTACAATGATCCCCGTGTAGAGCATGAAGAGAAAGAGAAGAAGAAGAAAAAGAAGAAAAAAAACAAGAAAAGGAAAAGAGGAACAAAAAATAAGAAAAAAGATAGAGTGAGAGAAAGTGAGACGGGTGAAGGGTGGAGGGAAAGAGAGACGAGGTAAGCCTCGCCAGTCATCGACACGATATCGGTTTTTCGAAAGACCTTGATCAATAGCAGATTATGCCGTCATCTGTGCCAGGCAGTTTAAAAATTCCGTGAAAGCTCCGAAGCCACGACGCGGCGTGGCGCTTTGGCGGGGGAGCAGTGCGCAAAAGGGGTATAAAGGAGGGGAAGGTAATGGGAACGTGGTGGGGAGAGTTGTCCATCGAGTGGCAGGTGGGCGTGTCGAAAGGAGCTTGCGATGTGTTTGATTGGTCTAACCAACATCCCCACCGATTTTCAACCTACCACGGGTGGGGATAGAAAAAGCTCGGTAGGGGTCGAAGGGGTGATTTTTAAGCTCTCTTTAAGCCGAGCTTGCCAGAGAGGACACCACTATCTCGCGTTCTACCACACTGCCGTGGTGCGTCGTGCGCGTACAACACTGAGTCGACGGAGCTTGCGAGAAGAGCTTGAGAGAGGAGCTTGTAGTCCCGCTACTTTATGAGAGGATTAAGAAAACGATAAGAGAGCTCCGCCGGCACCGTGTGCCACGTTGGACGACTTTGATTCTACTTTGGATGCTTACTTTCCATTCCTCGCTTTGAATAATCAAACTTTTCTACATATGAAAAAATGTCGATAAAATACTACTTTTTACATCATGATTATTCCATCATAAAATATATGTATATATAAATTAATAAGTTGCATTTAAAATCAATGAAAAACTTTTGTATAAGAAGTAAAAGGAAAACTATAATCTAAATTAGAGTTTATCCAAAAAAAAGTAGACAACTTTGAAATTGATGGAGTTCAAAGAACAAGGAGTCCCAAGGCGATTGTAACATATTTTCAATTTAATAAACCCCTGAAAATGGTTGGCACCCTTTTCGGCGTAACTCGTGTGTTGGAATAGAGGTATGGCGGTGGTAGTAGTGGCGGCGGGCGATAATTCCGAAAACAAATGAAGACTAATGAGGGGAGGGCCCTATGAGGCTTTCGGAGTGTGCGAGGGTAAGAAAGGTGTGGAGGGAGAGAAAGGGTTTTGAAAGGGTTCAAGGAGCCGCTACCCTTTAAGGGGTGAGAAATGTTAAGCTTAAACGTTACGGCTATAGAGTTAGTTGCCTTTGCAAAGCGCGCGCCTACCGATGGGGAAGCCGCGCTTTAAGGGATGACGTATTATCGAGTAGCGTGTTCAAAATGTGTTCGGTACTGGTCGCGCCACTTTGGGATGCGGTAATGTTACGTCACGTGTAATCGTTCGCGGGCTTTCCGGCAGTTCATTATGTGTCATTAATTTGCACTTTGGAAATCGATATCATTCAATCCATTTTCGGTGTTCACCACTTGATATTACAATAAAATAGACCCTTGGCTTAACCAACAACGAAAGATATATTTATCACGGTTAATATCAACATTTTCGAGTTTTTTTTTTGTTTTTTTTTAGTTTTTCTTTTATCGTCACTTATTTACTTTTCCATTTAGAAATTACTTTAAAAGGTGTTAAATCTTTTGGTCCTTCGAACGTGAAAGGATACCAAAGTAAAGAGAGTAAAGCCGGTCGTTCTGGTTCTATCGTTAAGCCGTTAGAGCCTCGCACAGTAGATACATAATAAATTAATTCGCGTATTTTCCTGTCCTCCTTATCTATTCAAATCTATGCAAAACAGGCGTTAAAACGCCCTTCTTACTTCTAAGGCGTTAACCCTTGTGAAGCTCGCTTTCTCTTACCACCCCTTCCTTTCACCATCTCTAGAGTTCTCTCTATCTCTTTCTCTCTCTCTCTCTCTTACTCTTACTCTTACTCTCCCGTTCTCTTCTCTCGCTACCGTTGGTTAGATGTCTTTGCACACCCACCCTTTACGCCCGTTCTCATTATCGCGTCGCAGCAACCCCTAAAATGCCACCCTAGAAAGGTCTCTGGCACCGATCTGAGCTCTACCAACAGATATTTTCAGAAAGGACGAGAAAATTGCTGTCTCACTCTCTCTCTCTTTCTTCCTCTTTCTTTCTCTTTCTTTCTTCTCTTTTCACGAGTTCCTCTTCCTTTTAATGACAAAGGAAACAAAATGCATCCTCCGATCGACTCTCGACTGCATTTATTTCTTTCGATAGAAGTATCTTTTCAAAAAAAATATTATGAACAAAAAAAACAAAAATGATAGCAATCAAACAACACGACAATTATTTTTTATACTTAAATGTTTGGATATAAACACAAGAGATGATAATTTTCATTTCTCTTTCATTTCATAGAACGGAATATTCCGGCGTCTTAGGTTGATGGTTTCGATATCTACGGTAACTGAGAAGACGACAACGGGAGGTTGGGGACTGAATAGCAGAGGAGTGTCATTAGTTACCGTCGCTCGCAGAGAAAGGAGCCGGTCACCGGACCTGATTAAAAGACGGGATACCTAGTCGAGGGACGCCTTCCGAAGACTCCTGGGGGTGAAATGTGACGCGAATTTAAAGGATCCGCTGTGATTCGACACAGGAGTGGACAGGAACAACCCTTAAAAAGGTTCCCTTTAAGGACTCACTGGCGCATCTCCTGAAGGGTTGCTCAGCTTTCTCTGAAAAGGGCTCTTTAAGAGAACCTTTACCATGAATCAAGATTCGATGGCTTTTCATTCGTGTTCCCGGGAAAAGTATTATGTAATGCGTGCTCGACAGTATTTTATCTTCCTCTTTTTTCTTTTTTTTTTTTAATCGACTATTAAAATCGACGAAAAATATTTATTTCGAAGGAAAGATTTCGAAAGACGCAATTCTTCATATCTTTTCTCGATCATTTTTTCCTTCCTTTATATTTTATTTTATTTTTTTTTTTTTTTTTGTCAAAAGAGAAATCCACTTTAAGAGAATATATTAAAAAACAATTTTAATCTACGTAGAAGAAAAAGAAATAAAAGAAGAAGATGATGATGATGATGAAAAAGGAGAAGGAAATAAAAACGCTAAATAGAGAAAGAAAGAGAGAGAAAGAGAGAGAAAGAGAAAATTATTTTCTTTAAAAGAGGCCACGAATTTACTGCAAAGCGATCCAAGAACGAAGCGACAGTTTTTAACTTAGCGCTCCTAACAATCTCCCCCAAATGAGGTAAAGGCCACCTTATTGAAACAGGGGTCGCGATTTTTCCCGTGCTCTTTCTCCGCCCCCTCAAGCATAGGCGGTTAATTGACACGGGAGGGTAGAAAGTGGGTGGGTTGGGGCCACTGTTAGCTTCTCTCTTGTTAACTCGAATCCCGACTCTCGCGATTTTTCATCCCCTTAGGAAGACTGACAAAGACGATGGCACGGCCTCTCGGGGAAAGGAAGCACGTGATCGGGATGTTTTTCTTCTTGGACAATCTCAGTTAAAGATTTTTTACGTCTTACCTGTCGTCTAAACGCATTCATTATTTTCTATCTCTTTTTATTGAATACACGAGTTCTCGAAGTTTTTGATCGTATAAAATAAAAAAAAAGGAAGAAAAAATACAAAATAACAACAACGAAGCTTTGATTGATCGAATTTTTTTTATATTCATCCGACACAATAAGGTCAAATTAAAATAAGGAAGGAAAGAAACTCTTGCAAAGGTACTTGGTTTGCCGGACTTGAAAGACTCTCTCGACAGCTTAGGGAAACGCGTAAAATTCGCCCCTTCTGTCGGGGTAGGCCGAACGAAATTTAATAACATCCCCCTAGTTACACCTCAATGGGCACCTTAACAACCCCGATATGGCTAGCTTCTCTTCACTTTCTCTCTCTTACTCTCTCACTGTTCCTTTCAACACGCGTCGATCGTCCTCTTATTTACCCTCTACCTCTCTTCTGGAACCTCTGATATCTAATAAACCAGCCCTTGAAATACGTTCTTATCCAGCCAGCGATATACCCTTGACTTCCGTACTTTGAAGTTACCACGATGACCGGCCGTCAGACTGGACGGAGGCGCGATCTATCAGCGTACGGACGAACTTCGAACGAAAGGGTTGAAAAATCTGGCGGGCACTACTCGAAATAAACCGATCGATATTCCCTTTATTTCCCTGCCCATTTCCATCACCTACCTCAAATGCAGTAATATTGACCCAGTTAATCCAACCGATTGACAAACTTTTTTTAACCCCTATTTTCCTCGAGAAACATCATAATTAGTTTAGATCAAAGCTTTCCTTCAATCGACTTAGTTAAATTCGCGTTAATCTTCGCATACTTGATCGATACATAATTACTTGTGTACTACGTATAGTTTAATAACTAATAAATCTTAAAAGTAGAAAGAAAAATCTGACGAACGTGACCTTTTCTTATTGGTTAAAATTACAATAAAACGGTCCGAGGGTAAATTGAAGTTTTAGAGAAATCGGGTGCGGCAGTGCTCGGTTCTTGATTGAGTAGAACGGTTATATATGTTGATAAAGAGAGAAAGAGACAGACAAAGAGAGAGAGAGAGAGAGAGAGAGAGAGAGAAAGAGAGAGAAGGGGCGATTGGCCGGGGTCGGGGAAGAGGTAGCGGAATGGTTGGCGAGAAATCGACGGCAGGACGGGCTAACCTCCCCCGCCGCACTACCCTCGAGGGCAAAAGGGAGCGAAGCTCCGTTAAGCCGCTTATCATGCCGAAACAATACACTGTCGGTGCACCAGTATCAGTACCCGACCCTCGGTGCTCGAGGCTAGTCCCATCAAAATTTCGAGCTCCGAACGAGTTTCAATGGAATTCGAGCTTTCGAGCTTGCCCTGTCGAAGCAGCTGCAGTTCAAAAAACATTGCGCATTTGCGATATCGTATAGTTAATCACAAGAGAGCTTCGTGGGAAGGGAATGCGATCTGATTTCTAACGGGTTCGCGATGCGCTTAATGGAAAATTAAGGATTTTCTGGGATCGAAAATTGGTAATGGACTATGATGTACCCGATGTGACACACGGTCGAGTCGAAATAATTGTCGTGTATTAGATAGATAGTACAAATAAATAAATGAATAAGAGAAAAAAAGGAAAGAGGAGAAAAGAAAAGAAAAATATAATAAAAGTAATAAAATGAAAATAGTTTTAGGAGAGAAGAAATTCTATAGGTAAACGCGATCTCAAGAGTTTATATCGAAGAAAAGGAAAAGGCAGAAGCAGCAGCAGCAGCAGCAACAGCAAAAGCAGTAGAGTTCGCAGCGTCGGGAGCTTAATCAGAGTCTTCTCCACTTAGGCACCCGGTGGCAAAACTCAATTTTGAGTCTACGCCTGCCGACGCTCAATTTTGACACCCTTCCTAGCCACGAAGTCGGGCAAGTAGGAAGACAGATGAGGGTGAGGGAGGTGTACAGTGGGACGAGTGAGTCTGATGTCGTAGAAGGATGAAAGCAAGGATCTTGCCTTCGTTCGGATCGCGAGAGGGTGCAAACTCAGTTATCTATCAACGAGGAAGAGTTCTGGATGGTCGAGTAGGTGATAGAGACCGAGAACAGGTACGATTCACATTGAAAATTCGAAGAAAGAGACGAAGTATGTTTGATTAGAGAACACCCACTTACCGGACAGTTTGAATCCCAACGGATCCTGCGGGTGTCCGAATGGGAATGGTCGAGGTCCGAAGTGAAACGGATGAAAAGCTTGATGCCCTGAAACGTGAGACGAATAACGTTAGTACAACCTACCCTCGTCGTTCGCTTTTTATCTTTCAAAAGGTATTATACCTCTTGTTTGTACTTAAAGAAATTAAAAACTCTGTTTGAATTTGTTTACAGGAAACGATGATTGCCTACGGTAGGTAAAGTCGTGCGACTTACTTGTCTTGGACCTTGGCTCTCTGGGACCATCCACGGTGACCTTGATTGCTTTCGATAAGGTGGCTATCTGAGGTGGCGTTGTTTGCAGCATAATGGTCAGGGTAAAGCTCTTTCCTGGAATGAAATAAATAAATAAATAAAGTAAGAAATGGATAGAATGAAAGATCGTGTCGAAAGTAATTATCGTTAGGTGGTAAACAGAAAGAAAATACGAGTTTTTCCCACAGGATTTCCAAGACTTCATCTCATCACCGATGAAACATAAAAAGTCATAAGAACGAGGAGCAATCTTTTGGTTTCTCGTTTTCCACATTCATTCATTATTCAAGTTTCATTCTACTAGCCACGAAGATGACTAGATCTTACCTAACAATTTCGTCAATTTTTGAAGACATCACGATTCGACTCGTACCGTCGTTTTATCTTTTTTCCCCGTCTGCGAAAGATTCTCGATACTCGATAGGATATTTTTTATCGTTTCCCTCCGACTACCATCCCGAAAAACACGTCCGATGACGGGCGGGAAAAATGGACGGAAGAAGAGCTATGCAATTCGCTCGTTGGAAACAAAACACAAATGTGCCGGAAGTAAGGGGTGAACGAGTGGCGCCACTGCGTCGACCTCCAACCGACCATTCTCCCTCAAATCGTTCTGGATATGTTAATGTTGTCGAGCGTTAAACGTTACCCTCAGAAATGTCACTGATCGTCATGTGTGATATTTTCCACAAAAATTTGAATGATGTCGAATCTACGTTGTAACGCATGCATGTGTATAATAAATATACGCATTTGTTACACATACGATGCTTTAAGTTTCTATGAACGACCAAAGAGAAAAAAGTTTACGAGGGATAAAAGAGAGAGAGAGAGAAAGAGAGAGAAAAGGTTTGTTTTCACAGAAGCAAACAAAGTACTCGCTCACACTAACATTGGTGTATGGGTTAGAGCAATGAAACAGGAAGCCCGGCAGGTTTTCCTGCCGTTACTGAGTCAAGTAGTACAGCTTATAATGGAGTTGCCAAGCTCGAGCGTACGCGTATATGCACACTTCCGGGGGTAGTTTTATTTTATGGTGTCGAGACCAGAGCTCGGTAAACGAGTCGGTTTTTACGGTGAACCACGACATTTAACCGGCTTACCGCCGTCGCCAAGCAAAATATTCGAGTGGTCTTTGACTTCCAACGAGATGGAGTATGAACTTGCCAAAAAGAAAATAAATTGAGGGGAAAAATACAAGAAAGTAACGTGTCCAATTGTGGATTCAATAAAGTTCAACTTTGTTTAAATTGTAAGTCAGTTCAATGTATTACCAAAAGGAAAGAATGAAAGAAAATAATAATAATAATAATAATAATAATAATAATAATAATAATAAACAAATATATATAAAAAAAAAGAAGATAAAAATAAAATGATTTACAAATGAAAGAGAAGCGACATTTGAACGGAAGGCAAAGCAACGAGAGGAAAGTTTATTGCCAAGCCGTATGGTGTCAAGTCCGCGAGGGCGCCGACAACACGAATCGAGGGTGATGCCAGGCATTTTGAGGGTGTTTATGAGGCATTATGTGTAACTCGCTGGAAGAACGATCCTCCCTCTTGAGGTCTATTGCCCTCCAACTACGTGTACGCCTAGCGAAATTGTAATTTATTCCTCGCGTAACCCAGAAACAATGAGATTTTCTCTGAAAATGTTTAAAAGCTTCATTGGCGTGTCGCGTTTTTGATTTGATTTTTTTTTCTTTTTTTTCATAAAATGGTTTGTTTGAAAACTACGCTTGATCTTTTTTTTTTCTTCTTCTTCTTCTCTCTTTCTTTCCATTTTATTTCTGACTCTTGACGATAGTCCTACATACAACGTTTATTCGAAAAAGCCGACAAGAATTAGCACACCAGTTGTAACATTCGCGTTCGCCCTAAGTTTACTCTGGGATCATGCAGCGTTAAAAACTCCCCTGTTTGCTGGCGAGCCAAGCGCAAAAGGGGTAGTACCTACTACCTCGGATCGTTATTTCCGAGTGTTTGTCGTCTTTTAAGATTCTGACGTTTTGACTAGCCGAATCGGGATGGGTCAGGCCTGTTCTTGGTAGATCGATTGACGTGAATAGCAGTTTTAAAAGAAGAAGAAGAAGAACAACAAGAAGGAGAATATGAAAAGAAAGAGAAAAATTTATTGTTGAACGATAACCCTTGATAAGATTTATCGAGAACAAAAGAAGAAAAAGAAGAAAAAAAGATAGAATTTCAAAATTCGCCAAAGAAAATTTCGATTATATCAAGAAAATTAGTGGTGAAGGGAAGAAATGATTTCGGTGCGAAAATGATTTAATAAGTAGTAAAGACCCGTCCAAGTTGAGAAGGGTCGACATTCGTTTCTCCAAGACCTTTTAAAAATACTCCCTTAGCGTGTTCGGTCGAGGGAAACAGCTGTTGCGATCGTTTGCTATTCGAACGAACGACTCTATATCGGATCTCGACCGAATTACCTCAACACTACATGGTCACACAACTACACATGGAGTGTAGACATAATTGCAATTATACTCTTTCTTATACGTAATATCTTTATTGCTAATATTTACTTCATTCGAACCGCGAATAAATAAATATAATTAAAAATATAAACTCATAATGTTCTTTGGGTTAGGCTATCATTCCTATTTCTGAAAGAGTAAGAAACAATTGATATTAAAATAGAAAAGTTTAGTCAATTTAAGAGAACAATAAAAAAAGAGAGAGTAAATTTCAGGAAGAAGTAATCCGTTCTCTTCGATTCGAAGAATCGTATATAGATGAAACAGAATATCGTGAGAACGCAGTATAATGTTTAGTCGTATTCTACGACATGGTCAGTGAATCTCGTCGACCACCTCGACGACGTTTTTTCCAATTAAAAATTAAAAAATCCAGTTGCCAAGAGCGGCATAAGGGGGTCGTGGGTGAAAGAGAGATGGTTAGAAAAGGGAATGAGTGAGAGAAAGAGAGAGAGAGAGAGAGAGAGAGAAGGAGATGTAAAGAGTGGAAGCGAAAGAAAGAACTGGACTCGTATGGTGGATGACTGCGCCCGAGCCTTTCTACCGATTAAATATTATTTTTCGCTCTGGTCTCCGAGCGACATTTCTACGTACCGACGATTCCGTTTCTTTTTTTTTCAGAGCTAATCCTGCGTTTTTTTCTCTGTCCTCCTCTTTCGATCTATCTCCAATCCTTCCTCTTTATCTTTCTATCTCTTTTAGTACGACGCGTTTACATTTGAACGGAAACGCTTCGACGATCGTTCAATCCTACGAAGTAGAAACTTTTCTCGCTCAACAACTCCCGATTATCCTTCAACGTATATTTCTTTCATAGTCTACGAATGTACCTTCTCCCTCGTACTATCAACTATCATTTCTCACCCAATATCTTTTCTTTCTTCCTAACCCACCTACCAATTTCTTGCTCCATGAAAAACATACAGATGAATCAAATAGATGCAAAATAACGTGGCTCTAAACAAAACATTAATTTCTTAAATGCAATAACGTCTAGAAAGAAAACTCGAATATACGTTGAGGACAACGGTAAAACGTTGAATTCTACGTACGTACAACGTTAGCGATATCATAGAAAGGGTAGAAAAAAGTGGGGATAGGTCCAGGGGGTGTTTCCACCGAGTGAATCGCAGCGATGATCTAAAGCGAGTTCCTCCTACCATACTCGAGCCGTTCGGATCAGAGCTCCACGAATCGAGGCGAGGGATTCCATTGCAGCAGGACATCGGTCAGGATCTGCCTGTCGATAGTCCACGTTTTCTCTCGCTTTTTTCTATCTTTCTCTCTATCTCTCTTTCTCTTTTCTTTTTTTCTTTGCTCTCTTCCTGCTCGTACCTCGGTCGAACCGTCATAAAACACAGGTAACTCCGGTATTTATGTCCGTCGTTTTTACGGGCGTCGTTGGCTCGAACGTAGGGGCACTATGGATATACATATGAAGAGAAAGATAGAGAAACTCATACACACACACATATACTGATGCACTCATCCACCACCACCACCACCCTTCCAAATACACTTACTCACACATACATTTGTATAAATAGGACGAAGAGAAGACCGACGGCGCGTCTCGACGCGAACGGCCCGTGACTCCTAGCAGTCGGAGGTTGACGCTAATCCCTGTCCGGGATAGCGAAAGGGGTGGCCGAGTGATATACGCCCCTGCGTTGGTATGATAATATTCCTCCATCCACGAGCCCTCTTCCTACCTTCTCTCACCCTGCTTCGCTCGACGTACATGCTCGTTATGCCCACGCGCGCAACGAAACATCGACGATTTCGAACCTTAACTTAGCCCTTTTTTTTTGTTTTTTGTTATTTTTTATCATCATTTTTCAACGATCTTCTTCATTCCCTTCGGGATATGTGCTCGAAAACATAACTTTTACTTCATCAATTTTTTTTCGACGGCATTTTTTGTTTTTTCTTTCTTTCTTTCTCTTCCCTTTTTCAATTCGCCCTTTCTTTTTTTCGTTCGTTTGTGTTTTCGTTCGTCTATAAAACGAAATTCGTACTTTCTGATTTCTCTATCTGTCTGTCTATCTGTTTGTCTCTCTCTCTTTTGCTCGTTCGTTCACTCTTGACTACGGCGCGTGAGAGAATTTGATAAAACTACGAAATTGTAAGAGAGACTCGAATAGAACGCTATTAAAGTCCGTCTCATTATTTACAGCTCGCGAAATGAAGTACAAAAGAGAGCCCCGGCATACACAGGGATAAGGCCGAATCGGTTTTGATATTTCAGCGGGCGTCATTCCTGGGCAATAATCATTTATCGTTCAAATTCGTGATATTAAATTTGTCTCACAAAAGCCGCGAGCAAGGGTGGTTCAAATATTTGCCTTAACAAAAAATAAAAAAAAAAGAGAAAAAAGAAAAAAACCAGCCTATTCTCATATCCCGCGTGTGCAAAACAACAGCCGGGGATATAGAGAAAAAGAAAAGAGATGGATAAAAAGACAGATAAAGAGAGAGAAATAGAGAGAGAGAGAGAGAGAGAGAGAGAGAAATAGCACCTCGCAAAAATGCATACAAAATCTCCGGTGTAAAAGGGCTGCGAGTGAAATTATGCGCTATGTACGACGAGCCCGTCTGTCGATCGGGGCCGGCCAGTCGACAATTTCTCGTTTTACTTAACAATCGCGCTCGCACGACTACGATGTAATCATTCCATTTTTATTCGTATAACGATATTTCCAAGAGTAAATACGTAACGATATTTCATCGGTGCTGTGTAAAAAAAATATTTTATTGCAATACACTTTTATACATATATATATATATATATTCGTTCTCGATTTATTTTGTATCAAACAAAAAAATATAAAATCAAAAAGACAAAATTAATACAAAAATTAAGGATAACGTAGAGTCAAATCAAGAGTTCATTTTCGCGAGAAAAGTGATAGTAATAGTGGTGGTGATAGTGTAGAGATCAACAACGACGATGATTTCACGAGCAAAGTTTATTCACGTTTGGCGATACACTAACGATCTTGAATGATCCACCTTTCTCATAAAGGTTATAGAGGCAAATCGTTGCGTACCGACGGTAGTTAAGGGCTACCCGTAATACAGTAATGAGGGCTTACTGCCATGGAAACCAAAGCCGCTTACAGCCAACCACTCTACCTCCGCGCTTTCACGTAGGCACCTACCCATGCTACTCGTCTCATCGTTCCGATTTCCTATATATATATATATATATATATATATTTGTAGTATATATATCACAGATATCCTTCTCATCTGCGGCTCTCTCGACGGAAAAAAATCCAAAAATCAACCGGAAAAAGTCGACCATTGTTAGCTTAAGCGAAAATTAACGAAATCCTTTGTGAGCCATTTTTCTGGAATTTTTATATGATTTAATTGTACCTATATACTTCATATTTCCCTATAAATTCGTCGTTTTGTTAAAAGCGATCGTTAATAATTCGATATCGAATAATTAATTGTAAAGATCAAGAGTGAAACACGTATACGAAATAATAGTAAAACCACATTGTTTTAAAAAACAATCCATCTTAACTTGAAAAAAAGGGATGCTGCTTTTGCTAAGGAGCTCCCAATATCACGGACCCCGCAATTTCCTTTTCCAATTTGCCATAAACAAGTCGAACAGCCCCTCGTTAACAGGCTACGCTCTCGCGACTGCTCTCTTGAAAGTTCGACGTCGCGAGATCGTAGAAGAGAAACAGAGAGGTGGGTTGAGTTTATAAGGTAGTAGTAAGGGATCGAGAATTGAGGTGGTAGAGTAGTGGTGATGATGGTGGTGGTGGTGGTAGTAGTGGTGGTGGTGATGGTGGTAGTGGTACTACTGGTTGGGTGCAACTTGGTCGAATTAAAGGAATTAAAGGACGCCTCGTTTCTCGTATCTTTCTTTCTCTTTCCATCACTTCCTCCATCCCTAGGACTCTTCTCATTCTCCTACTCTTTATTTCACCCTTCTTGTAAAAAGGGCGGAAGGAAAGGGAAAAAAATACTTTACTCTTCCTTTTCTACTTCTTCTTCTTCTTCTACTACTACTTCGAGCCGAATCGGAAGACTTCCACTTATTCCCGATTTTCTTCGAGATGTGCGCGACGTTTGCATTAAGCGCTCGTAATGGTCGCGATTATTAGCGCGCATTATTCAGAGTCTCCTTGGAAGAAGCCCCATTTCTTTCCTTTCCTTTCCTTTTCTTTTCTTTTCTTTTCGTCTCTTCTCTTCTCTTCTTTTAAGTCTTCATTCCCTTTCTATCTCTCTCTCGGTCTCATTCTTTTTTCTCGAAGAAAGTAAAGGAACGAAACGGTGAATTATTGATACACGGAGAAAGGGAGAATTAAAAAAAATCTGTGGATACAAAATCACAAGAGACGGCGGTGCACGCTTTACCACCGTCACTGTCATTGCTACGTAGTATTCAACGAGTGAATTAAAAATGAAGATTCGAGTGGTCGTATCATGGTATGGGATTTGCTTTTCGACGTTGGAAAAACGAAACCATTGGTTAAGACCCAACCCCCTATCTTAACGTATCCTATTTACATTTGAATCATTTAAGATATTACTACGTTAAAAAAGATCACGTTAGAAAAAAAATAGAGAAAAAGATATAAAGAGAAAAATAATTTTGAAGATCGTATCGAGATCAAAGTTTTTTAATGAATCATTTATTATGTTTAAACACATTATATTTTTAATGATCTTTTAATTATTTCTAGATATGTTTTTTTTAATAAGTACTTAACTAATTCACTTACCTCTTCCACTTCTACCGACGAATCTAAGATCATTGAATTTAGCGACTTGATTCTTCATCAGTGCGGTTGAATTCCGTAACTCCGCGCAACAGTTTTCATCGTTGCCCGCCCGAACGGTGACCAAGGTGCCGTCACCGACCTCACCAAGTGCTACCACTTTGAAAGCTACCGGGAGAGTCTTGTTTGATCTCCAATGCGACGGAAGTACCGTACAAACCACGTGTGGACAACCTTTCGAATAAACAGATACTCTTGTTGATCTATTTTTCAATCATATCAATGATAAATTTGTAATAATAATAATAATAATAATAATAATAATAATAATAATAATAATAATAATAATAATAATCGTATTATTAATTAAACATAAAAAAATCTGAATCACATCGTACGACAAGAGATTAATTGTTCTTGTTAAAGATAAAAAAAAATCATCTCATTTTAATCATTTGTAAACGAAATATAAATTACCCGTTCGAACTAGTTCTCCAGGATGTTCAGCAAGTAAGCCATCCAACGTCCTTTCGGCGAGTAGATCAGCTGTGAGTGCATAATCGGAATGATGATTACCGCTAGTAGAACCTTGTGGAGGTACGTCGTTAGCTAGGTGCATTCTTCTCCTCGAGGAAGAGGCCCTAGTCCTACGTATTCTCGCACCCCCGATTTGATTAGCTGGAATCGCTTGATGTCCTTGATGATCACCGCGAACCGATCTAGGATCGGTATAATCTAGGCCAGGTGGCCGATCTTCGGGTCGTACGACATCTCGCGAAGGATTCGTCATGAGAGCAGGATCATCAAGCTTTTTCTAACTTTTTATAAGATAAACACTTCCTCCGATTTTTTTATTTTGTTCTTTTTTTATAACTGACGAGATCACAGGAAGAACACGATCGATCGAATTATTAGCGATTTTTATGATCTTTTAATAAAATGGGATTCTTACGATCAAACTGATAATCCTCTTGAAGAATCAAGAAGAACGCATTAAGAACGATAGCTTCTCCCGTAGGAATCAGATTTGTTGTTGGCTTCGAAAACGAATGCCATAGAGAATGGTTCACGATGTGCTTATTTGGCCTACGAACCCCACGATCCTTTGATCCTTATTTCATTATCCCGCTTTGGGAGAGGAGCATCCGTTTGCAAATTCTTCCTCCCGTCTCGATTGCCAAGTCGCGGAGAAAATTCGTTTTATTGGAATCGACAGGAAGTATCACCCCTCCTCTCTCTTTCCTTTTTACTTTTTTTTTCTTTCCTTATTCGTCTCTTCGAACTTCTTCCTTCTGCTTCTATATATTTTTCTTTTTTTTTTTACTTGTCTGTATTCACGTCGAACGACATTTAATACAATGCTACTGTCTTCCCTTATTCTATAGAGAAGAGAGAACACACTCAAGAAACTGTTCGATGCTACTCTTAACTCTCTTCACGTCGTCAGATCACACAAGATCCTAAGGATCGAGAAGATCTTGAAGGGAAGGAAGGATCTCTACTACGCTTAAATTCACCCGCGTTCTAGAGTTCGCACGAAACAGAAGTCACGTGTATCGAATTGAATCAGTCCGTTTGAATCCGTCAAATTACTTCCTCTCAGAACTTCTGATCAACGATCATGAACATAATCACGTTTCATTAAAAACATTAATAAATCTTTTTTAAAATAAAAAAATAAAAAAAAATCTTTCAAACTCGACTATTTGAATATCCACTTGATTCAAATTCGCTTTGTGACACAGGACACTGAACGAAATCACTTGTTCTTGATCAGCGAATAATTGTCTCATTCGATTGATTCCAATGTTACATCGGTAGGATTTCTTCGTAACTTATATTTAAGATCATCCGATTGAAAAAAAAAAAAAAAAACAAGGTAGAAAGCGATAACTATCGTCGAATGGATCCAGTAGAGAAAGCAGAGACCAAATGAGATCTTCGTAGGTCGTCTTGATAACGTTTCTCGAACTGCTCGCAAGAATGACGAAGGTAGTCGTTCACCTGGCGATACCTCGGCGGGTGGCAGCGACAACTTGTACGGGGTAGGATAGGGTGTTTAACTCGCGCGGTCTCGTTTCGGTTCGGCGGTGGAAGATGGCGGCTTCTGCGGTGGAGCCGCGCGGTGTGGTTGCGGTGTATTTTTGAGGCTGCCGCCCCCAGCCACCACCGAGACCACCCCGGGTAAACCCCCTTCCTCCGCCGCCCCGTCCCTCCACCTCTTCCTCCTCCTCCTCTTCCTCCACGCCACTACCACCCTCGCCGACCCTCTCACACCCGTAAAACTCCCTCTGGTGGGGGTTGCTTTTTCCAAGCGGTGGGGAAAAATCTCTCTTTCTCTTTCTATCTCTGGCTCAATTCTCTCTGTCACTCTCTATCACTTTCCTCCACTTCGCTTTTCTCCTTCTCTTCTACTACTTCTATCTCTCTCTCTTTCTCTCTCTCTCTCTCTCTCTCTCTCTCTCTTTCTCTCTCCACCTAGTTTTATCCCTTTCTATCTTTTTCTCTCTCTTTCTCTCTTTCTTTCTCTCTTCTATTGACGCCAATGATGACACCTCACTGGATGACGCCTAAAGCTCTCTCTTCTACTCCTTACTCCGATCACTTTGTGTGGTGTTCGTTTCTCTTCTTCTTCTTCTCATCCTCTTTTCTTTCGACTCTTCGAATTTTTATTACGATTCATCTTAGCCACTTCGAAGCTCCTCCCGATATCTCGGATAACCTTGGATGTCTTCCTCGATGATCTTCATGAAGATTCTTCTCATTCCTTTCTAACTTTAACATCGCGACTATGATTTCTCTAGTTCTCTCTCTCTCTCTTCCCCCCTCTCTCTTTCTCTTTATCTTCCTCTCTCTCTCTCTCTCTCTTTCAAAAATACGTAAATAGATCGATTATCGATAAAATTGTCTGTCCATACCTACGACGAAGGATATAACTGCGTGGATTATTTAACATTCGATCGTTAAAACGCGGATAAGTATCGCTAACCCGTATACAATCTATCACTCTCTCGTTATGTAATTTATCTCTAATAATCATTGTCGTCATTGCTTTTTGCTGATACTCGAAATGATGATGGAAAGGTTAGCGGGTTGAATTACAATCGGTTATATTAAACATATCGACGAAGCTGACCACGTAAAACTAAAATTAACCATCGTCATAATCATCATCGTCATTTGTTTCTACGTTCGTTCGTTCGTTTGTTCGTTTGTTCGTTTCGGATAGTTAATAAGAACTATCCGTAATCAACCGCACGATTTCTATATTAATCGATTTCCACGCATCCTATTCGATATTAGATATCTCTGATTGACAGGTATGTATAGTTAGCGCCGTTCCATCGGGCTAATTACTTATTCCATTATTATCGATTATATCGCGACCTACCGTAAAATCACCGCGCGGTTACGCATTTTTACCTCGTTAGCCGGTCGTCTTTTTTATTTGCCTCTTTTTTCTTTTTTTTTTTTTGATCGTTGTTTTTCTAGTTATTTTTTTAGTCCTTTTTTTCTTTTTTTTTATTCAGAGAAAAAAAAACCGAACACGCAGTAACACATTGTAAAGCCGCGATCACTGGTTCGCTCGTTTGTCCATGAGATTTCTCACAATGCTATCTCTCTTCGCTCTCCCTATCTTTCTTTCTCTCTCTCTTTCTCTCTCATTTATCTCTCTTTCCCTTTAATGGATTTTTAAACAGATCAACTTCGTATAAAATACCTTATGTTAGAAAATTAATCACGTTAAAGTAAAATTCTGACGAGGAACCGAAAAATCTCTATCGTTTTTAGGAATAGTTCGAGAAGAACTAAAAAAAGAAAAAGAAAAAATGATCCTTCTCGTGTCCTTGTTCCTCAAAGTCAGGCGACGTCGTATTATCCTTCTTCCCCGTCCGATTCCTTCCTGCTTCCGTCGTTCAACGACCGCCCCACCGCGCGAGACTGCGAAACGACACTGTGAAGAAAGGGAAAACAAAGACGGCAGAAAGGCCCCCTCGTGTAGTTGCGTTTAGCACCGAGTATATACCGGGGGTTGCGCGATGCTTGGGGCTCCTCTCTTCGAGGGTGCAAGCTGTTGAGTGAGTGAGCAAGTGAGCGAGAGAAAGAAAAAGATAGAAAGAGAAAAAGGAAGAGAAATAGAAAGAGTAAGAGATAAAGAGAAGGCAAAGTTAGGGTGAAAAGTTGAACTGAGATGACTACGACAGAGAATGAGAGAAAGAATGTGTGTAGGGTGGGAGAAGGGTAGGAGGAGGTTTGAATGAAAGAGACAGATATAGAGAGACACAGAGAGAAGAGAGATACACTTTTCCTTAACGTCCTCCCTTCTAGCAATAAGTTGCCTTCAAGATTCAAATGCATATTATAAAGCTAACACTAGCTTACTACTCCTAATGATTTCTAACGCGACTCGACGTTAAATCGATGATTTACGAGAACCCATCCGATTCCGACGCATCGCGTCGCGTTGCGTTAGGTTTCGTTTTGTTACGTTATGTTACGTTGGGTTAAGTTACGTTAACATTAACGTTTACGTTACGTTGCATCGCATAGCTCACTGTTACGACGTTTTTTATGTAATCGCATTTACGTACGATTAATCATTTATCTTACTTGTTTGCTCTCGAGGCTGAATTTATCGCATTCTGGATTTAGCCGATAAATAACCTAACAAATGAATAAATTAATAATCTAATAATACGATATATCCTCTACGTTATAGTTGAAATACCATATTTTAAATGTTCATTTTGTTTGCTTTCCTTTTTGTTTTTTTCCTTTTTTTCTTTCATTCATTAGAGATAGGTCAGAGATGATTTTCGAATTTAAAAAAAAAAAGAAAAACGAACTTCCGCAAGGTGATACTTTATCGCGATGTTCGATCGTGTTCGCGATGAGTTTTTAGCAACTTAATATGCGAGATCGAACAAAACTCTCGACGAGAGAGCGTACGAGACGCGTCACTTTTTCGAGCGCTGACAACGAGACTATCGATCATGATGTATCTATAGGAGAACCCCTAAATGAGAAGAGAGAGAGAGAGAATCTCGAACCCCCTCTTTATATGTGTATGTGTGTATATATAATCCTGCACCCCTATGGCTAACAATACAACGCCTTTGCAGACCCCTAAACGATGCACTTTGTTGTGCGAGTTCCACCTACGATTCGTGTTTTCTATATGTACTTGCTTTTTTCTTTGATACATCTCTTAGGGAATGGATGGAAACGTTAGTAAAGGATGAAAGTCAAAAGCAACTGTAAAAATCAAACTAATGCACAACTGCCATTTCATTGTATGGTAAAAGATTATTAGGGTAATCATGTTATTGTGTATCTCATTTTTTTTAAGTTAATACAAATAGAAAATAGTTGACAAATTTTTGTCTCGTAAGGAGGAAAAGAGAAAAAAGGACAAAAAGAAGAAGTCAGACTTTTGATATGCCAAGAGAAATTCAAAGTAGTTCGATTTTGTGGTTGGAGAATGAACGATAAATTTTACGTTCCTACTAATGGTGAAGATAATCAAAAGATGAGCTTATCTTTTTTGTAATTCTACTAACATGCAAAATTAAGCATAGATTATTAAATCGAATCGAAACGTAACTAATGGCTTATTATGTTTATATCTTGACTTAGATTTTTCTAATCTTTGGTTGGATTGGTATTCATTGTTTAGAAGATAGGATATATGAGGGAGAACATTTTTAATCGTCCCGTAGGTAATTCGTCGACATTTAAATGAAATAAACAGAAGAGAGGTGAAATAATTCGACGGCCATCATTATTAAAAACGATTGGTTTTCGCCACTATTTGGTATTACCCGTTCTTCGTCCGAAACGCAATTTCGACTATTTTTCTCTCGCTGTCGGATGCCCTTTCGACGGTAACGATACTCTATAACCCGCATCCGACACGGTCCACGTAACCAACGCGGCGATGAATGCAGGACGATTATCGACGCACTTTTCCGTTCAAATTAATTGGACCAATTATCGGGGCCGAACAATTACCTACTAGCGACCAATTAGATCAGCAGGATTTGTTGTCACCCCGTAGAGCGACAAGAAATAATTGGAGCTCGTGCATTTTTCGTTACGAGAGACAGAAAAAAGAGAGAGAGAGATTTATATATATACAAATGTATATATATAAACATACATACATGTATACAAAGAGACAAAGAAAACGAGAGAAAGAGAGAGAGAAATGAGAGAGATAAAACAAACTCGTATAAAAATACTCGCAAATGGATAATCAAAAAGCGCGCTAAAATGCGAACCGATCTCGGCCGATAATCCGCGTTCGGTCGGTAAAGTCATTTTACCGTAATAAAATCTGATCCTGGATCAACACTAATCGACACTCACTGTTCTTCGATGTATATAGAAATAATTTAATTAATATATCTCACAGATCAAAATATAATAATTTATATTTAAGCAAAAAAACTGTGTTACACCAACCAACACCGTTTAAATATCACTTGTTTTCCTAAAATTCACAATTTCTTGCGCGATATCACGCGTTTTACTTGAGGAAACAATATATATATATATATTTCTCTCTCTCTCTCTCTCTCTCTCTTTATCTCTCTTTCTTTAAGTAGACACTTGGACTGTGACGATCGCACGAATATTTCGCTTCTCGACACTTCCTAGAAGGGGTTGATGACAAGAGTAGAAGAGGAGAGGCTAATCGCAGAGAGTTAGAACACGTTGGCCGTAGGTAATTCTCGAAAAAGGCCGCAGCTCGGGCCAGCCGAGACGTCTTGGGGGGTCCTGGGGGTCTCGAGACTCTCGCGAATAAGGGGGTGGAGGGTCGTCGTAGACGGTGGAGGCGGTGGAGGCGGTGCCGTAGGCGGGCCGCACTTTTTCACGGAAATGCGCATGCGGCTACTTTTATACCCCACCAGAACCTTATACCACCGCCTTGGTGTTCTTAAAGGCTTCTTAGGGTGAGTTTTGTCCCCCACGAAGTTACCCCACACCTTTCTACTTACTTTCATTCTTTCTTTCTCTCTTTTCATCTCTCTCTCTCTCTCTCACTTTCTCTCTTTCTTTCTGCTTCTTTCTCTCTCTCTCTTTCTTTTCCATCTTTATCTCTTTTTCTTTCTCTTTCTAATTCTCTTCGTCTCACACCCTGAATCTTGTTCTCGTGGAGAC